AGAACTGCATTGGGTTGTTAAACCAAGCGTGTACCGTCTTAACGTTCGTCACCGAAAACCTGTAATATTTAAACACATCAATAAGTGGTGCTTTGAAATGCAACCCATCTGCATCGACCACGATCTTCATGTGTGTGAAATTGGAAGCTCTTACTTATCGCTTTTAGAATAAAACACTCCCGGTTTGTACATGTTGAATTGTTATATAATATATAATATATACTTCCAATATGTACGTGACGCTTCCGGGAATAATGAGCAGTGAGGCCGCTCAACTGCTGCACGCGATCGATAACACGTCCGCCCAACTCGAAGTCGCACTCTGCGATGTCACCTACTACCCGCGATGGACCAACATCAACAGCAAAACAACAGGCTGTTCGTCAACGACAAACGCAACCAAATAACGGACGGCTACTACAGTGTGTGCTCTCTCAACGAAGAAATCTTCGAACCCGTGGGAGCCGAACTCAAAATGAACGACTCGAACGGCACGGTCGTGTTAGCCAACAATGGGAAAAACGACTTGAGACACAGTAAGCCATTGACTAAAACGCTCAGGTTTACTTCGAATGACATTCCACGCTGTCGAGAGCTGTACCGGTGAAAACGGAAAAGTATAACGATGGCAGAACCGAATCGTTTTCGAAATTAACCCGAGGCACCATCTCGGAATTAAAAGTATCTGTTTTAGATATAAAACATAATCCTGTGAATATAGGATACCTCAGCGTGACACTGCACGTACGATAATGACTAGCGCCCAAGGTCCTGGAACGGCCATGCGATTGAAAAAATGCGTTAATATAGCGGTCTCCGGCCTCGGGGACACGTGCGCATTCGATGAACCAGGAATAGATGGTAAACTGGAAACTTGCAACTGAAAAACAATATTTACAAACGCGTTGAAGTCCCCGACGTCGGTGGATCTGGCAGTAACTTAGACGATATCGTCGATACATCAAGAGCTGTCAGCAACACTCGGTACGACCTAGTCCGCAATGACGAGGATGAATGGATGATATACCCAGCGTTCGGCGGCAAGCTGTTCAACTTAGACGACGTCGAGACCACGGTCGTCGTTCGAAACAAGCAGTATGCCCTCGTCTTCACCGACGACAACAAATGGATTTTAACACAATCTCGAGTCGACTGGTTTCTCAACATCACGCTCGGCTCTCCCTACGTGTTCACGGAAAACAAAGACCACTACCTAAACAAAGTCGTGAACAACGGAACCCTGCTCGTTGCTTACGTCCCGACGCATAGGCGCAGTGTAATCATCAGTCCACTTTCGAGTATGGCAGCCCACATTCTATCGAGTAAACCCGGGGAGCAAAACGTGGGGTTGCAGGTGGTGTCTGAATTTGACGGCGTGGTCAACATCGTGGAAAGTCTACCGCCGAATTCCACGCTGGTCATCCAAGTCTACCTCGGTGAACCATCGCAGGGCGAAGTCGAAATCGTGAAAGGAATCAAACTCTGGTGGACCAAACAACATCAATATCACATTTGTTCTGTTTACGTGCGGGTGAACGTCGATTCCCACACCAGTCTGCAGGGAGTCACCGTTACCGTGGAAGACAAGATATCACTCACCAAAATTTTCCTACCCGACAACATACATCTCATGGGGTTGAAGTGCACATCTGAGAAATTATCAGAAAATCAATTGGAAACTATTTTATAACATTTTTATATAGACGATGAACAATCATCATCCCAACGTCACACTCGGTGATTTAAGAGACACAGAGGGGTTCGATCTGCCTGGTGAGGAAAACACATTGTACGACCTACATTTGAAAGACAACGTGTACGAGCGGGTGTCGCTAGCAGACTTTAAAGAGCCCGAATGGTTGATCAACATGACCCTCACCGCACCTCATATCTCGTTTAAATACAATGATTACGTCTCCGAGATTAAGAACAACGGTATCATTCTCGGGTCTTTCATTCCGGATTCTGATGATGTAAAAGTTATACGAGTACCAGGTTACCTGGGCAGCATGTTAGATTCAAACGGGGATTCGCATTTAAGGGTCGACTTCCCCAATTACCAATCAGACCTTATGGCTATAAGACCAAACTCCACACTCGTAATAGAAATCTTTCTCAGAGAGGTTCGTGATGGTTCAGAACGACAACTTTTACCTGGGTTGACAATACACTTGGAAAGTAGACCCTGGTACCATCGTTGCCATATCATCATACAACTGGGATCGGAACCCTTACTGAGAGTTATACCCCCCCCTTCATACCCCTCTATAGCTTTCGTGTGAACCAATATTTACTTAGAGTCTCACGTATTGTGCGATGATATAAACGTTATAAGCCTCAAATATACTCATCAAAAATTAAATGAAACCCAATTAAAAAATATCTTATAAAATATATTATACACACAGGATGGGGCTGTACCCAGTCGTAGAAGAAGTAGCAAAAACAATGGAAACCGTAGACGGGTTTCGTTTGAGACAGTTATGCGACATAAAACATCAACTAGAACAAGATCGAGACATACGGGCAGCATTATGTAAGAAATACCATAAAGCTTTTAATTTCGTGGATGTGGCTGATACCACCCTTATGGCAACCAGCATGGGATTAGGAGCAGCAGGTGTCGGTTTGTTGACCACCATCGTAGCCGCAACCATAGTGCTGGGCATTGAAATAAAAGCTGGGGTATCAGGGTTGGTGGGGTTGGTGTTTAAGTTTACATCCCGCAGATTACATCGTAAAGCATTGAAACACGACGAAATTAGAATTCTAGCCGAAGCAAAGTTAAACACAATAGACGACCGTATTTCCACCGCACTCACTGACAGTAAAATCTCAGAGGAAGAATTTCGTTTGGTCCTCTCTGAAGTCGCAAAATATCACAGAATGAAACAAGAGATTCGAACCAAGTCTCGTAACAGCACTGCCATCAGTGAAGACGAGAAAAAAGTACATAGAACAAGGGATACAACAAGCCCAACAAGCTTTCATTACGAAAACCAAAGAAATCATAGGAGATTCACATTAAATTGTTTCGCTGAGATCAACATTGTATAGTTTATTGATGTGAAAATTTATTGCTAGGACAAACAACACTTACCTCCCTGTCGAGTGGTCACAATAGTGCAGGAAGTGTTGGCTTGAGTCATAGGCCGCGTGACCAGGAAAGTGCCGATTCATAGTGACCAGGAAGTTTTGGGGCGAGCAAAAAGTGGTATGCACACTAGCGGAGAGAGATAAGGGCCTCACAAAAGCTTTATTTATGAAATAAAGCTTTACAGAGTCTTTTGTCAGAAGTGATCTCGTACCGCTATTCTATATAGTGTACAGTACACAACCCTGTGCACTTAAAAGAACCCACGAATCCGTTGGTATATGACCAGATGGTGGCCACATGAATACGTGCAAACACCCAGTTGCAGGTACAGCAACGTGCAGTAAACTTGGACAAAGTACTGTGACTATGTGTCCCAGTCCACCCAGCTGTGAATGGGTACCTCGTAAGGATGGGAATGCCACAATAACTCGGTGCGCCTAGTGGCTGCAAGAGTTGTATGATCCCCAGGGAGTTGAGATTGACAATACGATGTGCCGTTGAGATTGACATCCAGTGAACGAGGGAAAAACAAAGCGCCTTTGAGCAGCTGAGCTGAGCTGGATATCGGCGCTATACAAATGTTAGTATGTATGTATGTATGTATGTATGTATGTATGTATGTATGTATGTATGTATGTATGTATGTGTGTGTGTGTGTGTGTGTGTGTGCGTGCGTGCGTGCGTGCGTGCGTGCGTGCGTGCGCGTGCGTGCGTGCGTGTGTGCGTGTATGTATGTATGTATATACTACTCAGGGGTCAATATTTATACAGTCGAACCTGGTTTATCCGGACATTTTGGTTACACTATGAAATCGTCCGAATAGCGAGGTGTCGGGTTAACTGGATCAAACAAGCAAAACGTATTGACGATGTATATTGAAACATATTCATGTATGTATATCAATAAATCAATACCAGTTCGCATTAGTTATATTTCAGTCACATAGACATTTTTGTCGGTACTGTTTTCCCAAGTAGAAAATACAAAATGGCCTTATGTAGGGAATGCCCCTGCTCAGAAATGTTAACCATACAAACCAGCATTGTAATGGCGAAATTATAACAATGAAAAACTAATTTATGAAATATATTTCAAATGACATGCACCAATATTACCGGTCATGTTTGTCATGTGTTGAAAGTAGGCTATCAGGCATACGACTTGTCAACCTCTGCACCGTCAAAACATGTTGCACAACGCCAATTTGAGAAATGCATAAGTTTGGTTATATCATAGGATCAAAGGCATGATAAATTTACAATAGATGAGGACTCTTACGAATTAGACCCGTGAAGGTCCTGGTTAAAATTGGTCTTCAGCAAACCATGATTTGGTTATAAAAATAACTAAATCAGTAAGAACATCATTAGCCCAGTTCTGTTGTTATTATGATTTATATTAAAAATTGAAAATTTCATGCAATTAAAAATATAAATAAATAGTGTCGTAATGTTGCTAAGATGAATATCATGTTCTTTTGGTATGTGATTTTTTACGAGTTGAGACATCGCTACATACCACTTAATATACCAATTGTCATCCAAGCAAACCTTTTGTATGCTTACGTCAAAAAGGAACCTTATGTAACCTTGCTTTGTTTCGCTTATCATGCCTTCTTAAAAAAAGGCTCACCACCCAATCATCCTTGTAACCTCTGTTAATACAGTACAATGGGCTTACGGCCTGCAGTTCAGAGAAATAAAACAGATATATCGAACATTACATGCGTAAATCAAATCATGTACTCATGCACATACCACAGTACACCATGGCGTCAGTTTTGACATATTTTTACGATGGCTGTGAATACATATACAGGGAATGGATTAGTCTTCAAGGTACTGAAGATCCTCTCCCGATGAAATCAAATTCAACATGGAATCCAAACAGCAGAATACTCACTATTGTGTATCAGAGAGATGTGGAGACCTGTCTATAATCGTTTGATGAGTTCATTGCTAAAATGGCTGTTCAGCTTGTGACAAAATGTGGGCTTCCTCTGACGTAACTCAACTATACCCGTTTGTCCGTGATCACTCGTTCTTTTCCGAATGCTGACGGAGATATGGACGGTTGTTGTGCAATTTGCCGAATACTCACATGACTGCAGAATGACTGTGGTTTGTTATAGGTTCGTGGTTTAACGCCGCACTCAGCAACATTCCAGCTATTTGGTGGCGATCTGTAAATGATCTATTCTGGACCAGACAATCCAGTGATCAATAGCATGAGCCTCGATCTACGCAGTTGGGATACGATGGCATGTGCCAACCAAGTCAGCGAGTCTGACAACCCGATTCCGTTTGTCGCCTCTTACGACAAGTACAGGTTACTGAAAACCAATTCTAACCCGGATCTTCACGATTAGGTTTGTTATGAATGTTATGATCAATAAATCAAGTTAATATTTATATAGCGCCTGTTCCAACAAATTGCTCAGAGGCGCTCAAGCAAAGGTACTGTGAGAAGGCTGTGTTTTAGCATTCGCTTGAATTGGTTGAGTTCGCATGTCCAGGATGCTGTGAGATTGTTCCGCGATATGGGTCCTGCTTTGGAAAAAGATCCGTCACAAAAGGTCTGACTTTTTGTGGGAGGTATCTCCAATATTCGTGATGTTCTGGGTCCTCCAGTTATGTAATGGTGGACAATGCAGGGTGGAGCTAAATCATTCAAGGTCTTGAACACGAAGACATGATCTTGAACATAATTCTTTGTTATGAACTTTGCGATTTTTATGTTCTCATGTCATTTCTTGTATTTATCAGTACAAAGAGCAAATACCAAACAAATATTGCCGTTACAAAGTAAACCAGTAAGAATGGCGATAATCTAAAGGTAATGAACGTATAAAAAGGTTTTACGAAACACATATAGAATGATATAATATAATATAAAGATGATACTTGTCTTGGGCCTTCTGGGTTTCCTATCGAAAGTCAAGCTATGCAAAACATACTTTGTCAGTTAACCCCTGAAGCCGTGATATTACCTGAATATTGCTAAAAAGCGGCGTAAAACTGAACTCAATCACTTGATCTAAATCCGCATCTATGGACACCCAACAGTACATACGGTCACGTGACACCGTACGTCATCAAAATGTTCTCGGGTCTAACTCATTGGCAGATGAACGGAACAGCACTTAATCCTTTTCTTTTATGCTTGATCCGTATTGTTGGAATACGATGATCTCACCCACGGACGATGGTATTATATCATGTTTTTAGCCATGACTTAAAGCAAATCAATCTGAACTGATGAAGACTCTTTCCACACGTCTAACTCTAATACAGTTGATGAGAGTTATCTCCCTTCGTAGTGCTATACTTGTTGTCCAACATATTTGGATGTTTGGTTGAACTAAACATTCCACTATACATATGACTGAGGTCTGTAAATAATCGAGCCTGGGTCATTCAATCCAGTGATAAACATTGTTTGGCAATGGGGATACGATGACATGCATCAACCAAGTTCAGCGAGCAAGACAACCAATCCCGTTTGTCGCCTCTCACGACAAGCATGTGTTGCTGAAGACAAGTTCTAACCCAGATCTTCACTGAAAACAACGATCCGACGCCGTCGCTCATCGTAGGATGCTCCACAAGTCCATTTTGTTATCAGGTCCTATGGGTCATTAGATTTGTGGACACTTAAGACACTCAAACCGGGTAGTCGGGCATGGTTAACTGGGGGTGGGCGGTAGCTCACAAAATCGACCACTGGATTGCTTCACATTACACTACCGTTATTATCAATATAGTAGGGGTGGGTATTGCAGGGAATTTTCATATTGCGATATATTGCGATACGAAAGCATGTATTGCGATATGTATTGCAATATAATGCAAGAAGTTATTTTTTAACAAAAAACTACTTATATAGTCGAGTTAATGCTTGATTTATAAAGCAAAAACACAACAAAATCACAATGCTTGATTAGGCTTTAATAAAAACTTTTAATCATGACAAAATAAAATTGTAAATAATGTTTGGCACAAATGAAACAAGGAAAGGAACAATTTAAAAACGGAAATATCCGAAGATTTCCGAGTGTTACGAAGTTTTCCGAATGCGTGTCAAAAGACCGGTTTTCGATCAGCGTATCGCAATACGTATCGTTTTCATGTCTGAACCGGTAAATACCGGTAAACCGATTATATTGCGCAGCCCCAACTGGTAGTACAACCAGAATCTGTCCAACCCGCAACCGTAGGAACACATAACATTTCCCTCGAGTCTTCATGCTACATATGGGGCGGTTGGGTAGCCTAATGGTTAAAACGTTCGTTTGTCAGGCTGAAAACCCGGGTTCGATTCCCAAAATGGGTACAATGTGTGAAGCCTATTTCTGGTGTCCCCGCTGTGATATTGCTGGAATATTGGTAAAAGCGGCGTAAAACCATACTCACTCACTCACTCGTGCTACATCTGGCTTTTGCGTTGTCGATAAATTTCTCAGAACAACGCTGATTATTATTGTTGATGATGATGATGACGACGACGATAATGATGTTGGTGGTGGTGGTGATGATGATGGTGATGGTGATGATGATGATAAAATTAAATAAAAAGTAACGTCTATAAAATAAATAATAATAATAATGAAAGCAAAGCAGTTTACCATTATAACAATACATTAATATTGGAAGCTGAGATACTTGCTGGGATTGACAAGATATAATGACGTATGCAGTGGAAAGTGAAACACTAAAAGGTAACAGGTGTCAATGTCAAGAAATAGAGGAAAAAAACATTAATAGGGTAAGACAGAACTGTTAACAAAAAATAACTTAGTTATTGTTGAAAGGTCTGATGTTGGCTGGGATACATGAATGGTGAGATCTGTCAGTTCTCAATAACACGCGACGTGCTGAAGGTAAAGAGTCAAATTCGCTGAAGAGAACGTGGGAACAGCTGTATAAAAAATTCTTTGTCCTTTTAACAATGTGCTGCTCGTAAAGTAAACCTGTAGGAGTTAAACTAGACTGGCATCTAGTCTTTGAAATGAACATATTTTACAGGAAAAACGGTTCATTAATTATAATAATAAAATCTGGTGAAAAGGAGACCAGAGACTTTCTTCATTTTCAGAGACTAAACAAATCTGTACAACGATAATTTCTTGGAATTCTCTGAAACTGAGGAAATCTAGACTTGCCACACATTCTAGACTTGCATGAGCTTTCTTGGATATATTTGTTTCAGGGTCTGTATGCGAACCAGTGATTCTATGGCTTTTGTTTACGAGTATAGTTAGTTTATTGTTTTCTTGAACAGAAAGGTTGCCGAACCAACAACACTAGTCAATATGCTTTGAATTAATGTTTTGTAGAAAAGCCTTATAAGAATTTATAATATAATCAATTTTGAATGTTTTGTTAAAAACAGCATGATAAGAGTTAAATCAATTTTGAATGTTTGTAAAACAAAAGCCTTATAAAAGTTGAATCAATTTTCATAAGAACACTTTTGTTAGCACTCCTACTCTCCTTCCGTATCTCCAAGTTAAGTTCATGTTTATTCAGTGATAGCGTCTAGATACTTGCAGGTGCTAACAACTTCATTTTTCTGCATTTGGATTGAAAGCGGATCGGGAGGAGGGGGAGGGGAAGGGGTGTATTTAAGCAATAACCATCTCTCTGGTTTTATTTGTGTTTAACACAAAATAATTTTCTTTGCGCTAATTTGAAATTGAATGATTGCGTTTCTGTAAGCCAATTATGTGTTATCTATAAGGGAGACAATTGCTGCAGTATCTCAAAACTTTTCACAAAACAAATAAACGATAAGAGTATGGTCGATATGACACGACCTTGTGGTGCCCCTGTAGACAAGGAAGTAACGGTAGAGCCAGTGTGATTACCAGTGACATCCCGAGGCATGTCAGTCTTTGTGGATTGTATCCATTTAATTAGATTATACCATTCACTGACATTATAACGTGATAAGTTTAAACATTTGTAAATGTGGATATCTGGTGTTGAAAGCAGAGGAAAAATCTGCAAAATGAATTCTGACAATAGGAACTACCTCTATACTTTTGAATGACGTCTTTGTCGATAAGCATAAGGGTAATTGTTTTTTATCAGGGGCGGAAAGTGTTACCCCTTATATCCTGAGAGAGAGAGGTGAGAGAGAGAGAGAGTGAATGAGAGAGAATGAGTGAGTGAGAGAGTAGCATTTTCGACAGAAAATTTACAAATGTTATCTAAACTCTTTTGGCCTTAAAAATAAACCCCAGTCCCCGAAACACTGCGAACTTTGGTTCATATCACGATTATATCACATCCGTAACAATTGCATCCCCGCCATATAACCATTACTTTGCCTTTTACTCATTAACTTGTCTGCCTGTCATTTATCACCTCTATCAAACACAGGAGTATACTTTTTTCGCCTGGCAATCTAAATCGGGCAACTAAAGATGTGTTTGTGGACTACTATTTCCCTTTAATCATTTTAAAATTAAAACAAAAAGATTCCGTGAGTGCAATTAAATATGTCATCGAGAAAAATCAGTTTACTGATCCTTTCAAAGAAGTACGAGCGATCTATTTCTGACCATATCTGTTTAATGTCCTACAGATAAAACAGATGTGGCTCTTCATTACACACAAAGTACTATCGGATGTGACACCGTCAGTGAAGAAGCAATACAAGCATCCAGCTTTTACTGTAGATCTACTGTACTTAGCCCCCGTTATCTTTACACATACTGTTAGCCTCACGACTGGTCATGTCCACGTGTGTGGTTACAGGTGCGTCATTTGAGTAACGATTAAAGCGCGTCATTCTAAGTCAGAAAAAAACAACGAGACGAAACATACCAAACTTTAAACTTCAGCATTTCAGATTACGTACTTCAGGCAAGTCCGAAGACGCCAGAAATGAGCATTGCACATTGTTCCCATGTGGGGAATCGAGACCCGGGTCGTCGGCGTGACGGGTACAATGTATGAAGCCCATTTCTGGTGTCCCTCGCCGTGATAGTGCTGGAATATTGCGGCGTAAAACCATACTCACTCACTCACTCGTAACGTAAAGAGCTTCAAATCCACAGGGGCTTGTAACGTATCCTGCCATCAAGGTATGTATTGTCACTGACGGGGTCTTAGCACTGTACTTTTATATAGTGCTAAGACCCCGTCAGTGACAGTATATACCTTGATGGCAGTTTTTAGCGTTACAAGCCCCTGTGTTCAAATCAACAGGTTATTTGTGTCATACAGGCAACGTAAGCTAGCTGCCAATGAAAGTATATCTGACTGCTGCAATAGACCCTCAACATTTAAAAATGCCAGAGATTACCCAGTCTCGATTATACGCTTAAACAGGGTTAAGTTAAATAGCAGTGAAATAAATATCTAAAATATAAATTTAAAACCGCTGTTGAGTTACTCCTATCTGAGAGCGCTGTCTTTCCTCAGTACAGTGTCAGTGGAAGTCTCGTGTCGTGTAGACACCGGTGGCCTGCTGTGCGTGTCAAAATCTACTTGCAACTATACCGCACAATGAGTTAAGTGTGGCATGTTAATACGTAGAGTTTTAACATATCTACTCACAAAAGAGCCATACACGTTGGACGTGTGATAGTATCAGAGATATACTTATATCTGTAGATAGTAACAGTATTTACATAATAGCTGCCAACAAGCAATGTAAGTTATGATACATATACATATAGCATACATTAACAGTAAATATGCATATGTAGACATATATTAATTTTGTAAAAATATCTGAAAAAACCCTAAAAGTCTTTACTTTGGAGTTATTCTTTATAATTAATCGTTGCATTGTCACTAAAGTAGAAACAAATAATAATTTTCGTATGTTTCACCCACGTAGAAAAGAACCACTGTGTTAGGCGTTACAAGCGAATGCTTCAACCACCATGCTACCCAACCGCGGCCTTGCTTTTGTACAAAGGACATTTTTATATCTTGGTATATTCCGTTGCATGCTCGGTCTCTATTTATTTTTTTAAAATTGTGTTTCATGTTCTCCGCTTTTGTTTTTTAACCCTGGACATCTAGCCTTGACCTATTTTGGAAACGTGACTATTGTTGCTGCAAGGTGAATATTTTGGTCCCTTTCTTTATTGCTATTTTCACTATTATAATATTATGTACTGCAGTTTTAATTGTACTGGCATTTTTTGTTTTACTGCCTCTCTTTTGTGTAATGCAATGATGATTACATTGCAGTCATTTTTATTAATTTGCAAAACTACAAAATTTTATAAACTAGTTGTTACTTGTATAAACTCTTTGTTGTTTGTAGGTTTCAAATTGAATTCTACTGCGTACAGACGTTTTGGTTAACGTATTCTTTCAGTTTACGTATTGTAACAATTTATGCAGGGCACAGAATGAATTAACATTCTGCCCTAGTTATCGGTTAAGGTTACAAGTTGCCGTGGTCTTTGTAACCGACGACGGTAACTGATTTTATCGAAGGCTACGTTACGTGTGTACATACGTGAGGGGACGGCTGTTGTTGTGTGAGATACGATCTTGTTCGTGTGCAGCATTGCAGGAATCCGGTGTGGGTCGATCTAGTAGTATTGACACACCACATATATATTACTTGTACTAACACCGCTCGTGAATCACCTTCCACGCATCTATTTAATTGAGAGAGAGAGAGAGAGAGAGAGAGAGAGAGAGAGAGAGAGAGAGAGAGAGAGAGAGAGAGAGAGAGAGAGAGAGAGAGAGAGAGAGAGAGAGAGAGAGAGAGAGAATCATAGCGATATCATTGCCGAGGTTTCAGCCGCCAGAGACGTCTCGTAGATAACAAACGTCAAGTAAACAGAAGGCCCCTTGACCGTGCGAGCCGGCACGTGATTCCTCCAGTAGCACGCATTAAATTAGAATTCACATCTAAGACCCATATACCTTCTGACTGTATTTAGTGGAAGTTATGTTTCTATTGTAACTACACACAGACATCTTCCTGAGTCAAGGGAGTAAACTGACTGCAAGGCTGTATCGAATGATAATTCCACTGGGGTATAATAATTCCATCCTTAAAATAAGGAAGTCTAGATAAGGGAACAGTGTGGCAGTCACAAGCTGTTGTTATTATTTCTATAATCTAGACCCAATTATTTGGACTGGGTTTTGCAGTCAGGCATCTCCCTTGCCTCGGGAAGATGACACATAACAATGAAAAACAAAAACAAAAAAAAAAACAAACAAAAGAACCAAAACAAAAACAAAAAAGCAACCAAAAAAACACAAAACAAAAAAAAAAAAAAAAAAAACAAACAACCAACAAAATACAAAACGCAAACCAATCCAGCTACATGAGATCGGGACAAAGGGGACTTCAAGCCGAAAAACAGGTCTGATTACATTCAACACCCGTGATGAGGAATTTTATTTGGTCTCCAAAAACACGTGCCTGTCAAGGCAGCTAACGGGATCAGTGGTCAGGCTGACGTTGATACACGTCATTGCATTACATTTGAGTCCATCGATGCTCATTGTATCAATCACTGGATTGTCTGCATGGTCTTTACCGTCATACAGATGGAATACTGCTGAGTGCGGCGTTAAACAACAAACGAACATACAGATGCAACCCTAACGGCGATATCGCTAGAATACTAATCCCACAGTAAAGCATAAAAATACGACTCAGTAGGCAACAATATGAATTTAACACAATCACTGTAAATGTATAATTAATTTATATGCAAGTCATGCGGTGTATACACAGAGGTTTGATATACTCGTTACAACGCGATACACATGACAATCACAGAATCATAAAATGTGTCTTAGACAGATTTACACCGCGTGTTATACATGTATATTGACTGTGTGTGTGCCCGGAATTCAACAATTTTGGTATATTTGAAATTATCTGTATCCATGACTATTGTGAAATGAATAATATTATTTGGATATTTCTTTAGAAAACCAAAACATATTTCTCCACATACCACTTTATATTAAAGGAAAACAATGTCCAACCGTAGTATCTATATATCATATTTTGAGAGATAACTGACTGAATAAATATGTTTTTTACATTTTTAGATCCTTTTAAGTCGCGAAGAGATAATAATGATTCTGTAGAAAACAAATACATACATACTATTTTATATTAAAGGATCAAAATATCCAATCGCAGTATCTACCATAGTAAGAGAATACTGACTTATTAAATATGCACCCGTGAAGGTCCGGGTTAGAATGAACCTTCAGTAACCCATGCTTGTCGTAAGAGGCGACTAACGGGCTGACTTGGTTGACACATGTCATCGGTTACCAATTGCGCAGATCGATGCTCATGCTGTTGATCACTGGATTGTCTGGTCCAGACTCGATTATATACAGACCGCCGCCATATTGCTGAGTGCGGCGTAAAACTAAACTCACTCACTCACTAATAAACATGTATTTTTATTTTAAGATCCATTTTGAGTGGACGAGAAATATTTATTCAATGTGTGTCAATATTAAAAATACGAGACGTTATTAATCCAAGGCTTTCTTATATATATAGGTGTATAGAGCTTGTAATTGGTGAATTGTTTGAAAGCTTCTTGGTGTAATTATTATATTATATTATCGTAATTAATATAATTAGGGTAATCTTCGACTGGTGGGTGGATCTAATGCATATTTAATGTGAGTTGGCGGACAACTGTTTTTCAGCAGTATTAAACTAGCCTGCTTGGGTTATTGATGGGAAACGAGTCTGTCGATCTGAACTGTGTATTGATACACTTAAAAGACAACGGTTATTGTTTGTTTTTTTTAATTCCTGTGTACACATAATAGTGTACTGAAGGTGACTTCTATATATATGCATACATGTGCCTGTGTGTGTGTGCGTGCGCGCACGGGTGTATGTATATCTCCACGTAGTGATTCATCGACATCGTCATCACTCTTAATCACCATCTCCATCAACCATCAATAATATCGATTATCTTTACAACAATAATAATGTTCAACAACAACGACGTCGTCGACGACGATAATAATAACGATGATGAAAATTGTCATAATATTCTACAGCATATTTATCAATCATTATATAAGGTTGAAATCAGTCCATACTCAAATTACCGTAGATCATCTACACACTACGACCCTAAACGACCGGGTGTCTACACAAAGGGAAATAATTCTCGTTGAGGAAGTAGTAAAACAGGTTTCTTAATTTTAGTCACGTTGTTTCATGTCAAAGCTTTGGCATTTGTCAGATTTGCTGTTTCGCGTACATACAGGTAGAATATGTGCTAATTTGTAGATCGTGAGAGTTGTGAAAATGAAATGCTCGAATTGAAGCGTAGACTCCTGACTGTGCGTGACAGCGATTGCGGATCTCATGCTGTTAACTCACTGAGAGACACGAGCCGTGCGTGGAGTTTCGATCGGTCGCGCAATCGATTCACGACCGTTTTGTAGTTGAGGGCAGTTGTCAAGAAAGTAGTAGACTTAGTCCGATGATGGCTGCCAACGATGTTGTGATCTTGCAGTCACCAGTTGATATAGACAATAAGAGTCATGTCATATCACTAACACCCACTCAGATCATTGTCGAAGGATGTTGGCGAGCCCCTGGAGATGATTCCACTACCCCAGAACCCGTCTTTCGTGAGTATGCCTCCCTGAAATTCGATTTTCCATTTGTCAACAAACAGCTGACAACGGACAAGTGCGAACGGATCACGAACGATTCTTTTCCAAAATTCCCGTCATCTAGAATCGATGTTAAAGAGGAAAACAGCTGATATTATTATTTTACATGACCATATTTCCACTGTGCAACCGTGAACTTGCTTGGCATTTTTTGTGTCATTCTTGGCAAGTTTCCAGTCATTGTTTACTATTTACGTCCGTCTTCTCGAGGTGGGAATTGCTGGACAAAGAAAGTGAGAGGGGGTTGTCTGCCATCTGGTGCATTGGTAGCAGATACAGGTCAGACAGCTGTCTGTGTCGTGTAACACTAACTGGCTGTACCTCTCTGTGGCCCCCTCGCCTCAAAATGTGCATGCCTTCACATCTGTTCATCTTTGTTCACTGCACTGCTCACTCTGTGAGCTGAAACTAAAATCTCTCCTGGGCTTGAAACTAATGTCAGATCGTGATGAAATTTCTTCCTCATTACGAACATGTGGATGGATAAATGTCAACTCATTTGTTTGCAAAATTGTATCTCTCCATAAATTACACATCCAGAGCTACAGATAACTTTTTGGATCATTGAGTTATGTAATCCAACTTGTGTTCATCTCAATTGGGTATTCTAATTTTCCTTTGAGTAACCAAATAAATTGTACTCACCTACTCAAACAGAGGCCGGGATTAGGTATTTTTCCATTTTCCATTAATGTTTACAAATATATAAAAAGTTTAAATGTTAGTGTTTGTTATTTCACAACTATTTGATCTGTAATGATGAAAAGGGCATACCAAGAAAGACTGCAGGTTGTCAAGTTCATGTCCTGAAATAGAACCTCTCAGTATACCGCAGTTATTTTATTTTATCCACCGTTACGCAAGCTAAGATTTGACATTTTTGTTTGTACGCATGTAAGATCACATTTATTGGTATTTACCAAACTCCAAGCATACTTATGCATAATAGACTTAATAGGAATTGCTGCACGTTTTGGATAAACATTTGCGTAATTTACGCAGATACGCAGCTTATCTGAACCTCTGCATTTCGTCTGACTTGTCATCTCAACTTGCATCTCAATGTTAACCTTTATGTTTAAAATTCCAGTCAAAATGTTTCATTGATTGTAGTCTACATCATGTATGTCATTTTGCTTAATACGCTCAGTCATGCTCTACTAACTTTCATACAGACTCAATCAATCAACAGAACATGTTTGTATTAATCATGTTAATTGTCAGATATGTGTTTGCAATTGGTTTTGCAAATTGTCAGAGGCTGTAAAATGTTGTTGGGATAAAAGCTGCTACTTTAGTGGATGAATATAAATTCAGCAGTGCCAAACACCTTGAGGCTACTAGTCCAAACCTGTCATCAAGCATAAAATTTTTACTCAGTTTTAGTCTTATTGTACTATGGTAGCTGGATATTTCTGAGCTTACATTGGAAAAACGAAACCAGACTGTTTGTCTGACCTCTGCCACTGGCACTAGTACCACTTGCTGTAAATTTCAGTCGAAATGCATATGGCGAACTACATTTATAACAGACTGTAATGAGTTGTCCCTTTGAGTTCATTATGACTGTAATTAACTGTATAGTTCATGTAAGAGTTACCGAGTTAATACTATGTTTTGTTGAGGATATGTACATTTCAAAATTGTCAATGTGTGTCATTTGATAAGTAAAAAACTGATATAATAGAGAGAAATTAATATATAAGTAACACAAGGGATTTATCAACACTTCAATATTCAACCCAAGTCTGCAGCCAAAGACTATAAGGCCAACAATAAAATATATGTCCGTTTTCTATTACATGCTTTTTAAAAATAGGGTAGGTGGGTCGATTTTATCTTTTTTTTTAACTTTTATTTTTATTTTTTAGTAGCACCAGGTGGGTACCTGAGAATGTCTTCAAGGATACCACATCATTTCTTACAATGCCTTGTGACGAAACATTGAAAGATTTCTATATCAAATCATTATTCATGTTATTCATTTGCAGGTTTTGCAATTGTCAGTGAGAGCACATTATGCCAATTCAATGCAATCCATTTTAGCCCTATGTACACTGGAAAACATGAAAATATCATACTCGATTTTGATGAAAATGATGAGTTGAAATGCACTCTACCAGTAATGATTTTGACTTGGTTGAAAAACAGATTTAGGGTCGGGGGTGTTAGGATAGGGTCGGTCGGGTAACCGGAAACGGACATATTTCTTATTTTGGCCTAACATTTCTTTTGATTGAAACTTTTGCAATTCCTCAGAATTTTCACAAATAAGAACTTGACAAATTGAAATTATGGACGACATAATATTTTTCCCAAAATGCCCGCCAAGGCACACTGTTTGAAATCATAGATAATGCCCTGCACATGGCTTTTGTCCTCATTTTCATGACAGTGATGACAATACTAAACGGCATCATAGCTATGGTGTGTATGTTTATCAAGCTATTTATTTTTATAGGAGATCTCAACATCATATACAGTCTCTTAAGGATTATTATAAAATTTAAAAGCTTTGAAAATATTTACCTGTAGTTAGATAGTGGTGACTCCCTCAATACAATCTGATCTATGCAGTGTCAGGCAATCCCAGGATATGAAAAAGGGGTTAATGTTGGCATTTCCTGAACATTGTGACAAGTGTGAAAAAGAAGGAAGAAAAATGATGAGATATCTTTTAGTCTTGAGCACACAGACTGACTTCGTAAAAATAGTATCATTAATTGAACAAAATCATTAAGTTGCAAGTGTGTGTTGAAATCTCCAGAAATGATGCTACGATAGAAAATTGGTTTATCATGAAAATAACCACATCTCATTCTTCATTATTGTTGCAATTTATTGGGAAACTATCTTTCTTTTTTGTGCTAAACATTACCATCAATTAACATATCCTTTCCAGAAAAAAAATCGGAAATGTCTCAGCAGTTTATTTTTTATTATTTCCTCTCAGAATGCAGGATAGTTTGTGGTATATTGGTAAATACCAACTGTTAGGTAATTGAATTACTGCACATCATAAATTTATTATCTCTTGGAGCTTAAGTGATAAGTTCAGCAGTAATCATGGTAATTAGAACTAATTATCTCCCAGGTGATTCAAATACCTGCCTACATTTCCTTTGATGTCAGTTTATATACTTAAAGGTGATGGGTTGTGTAAGTGATAATGGTTGCCCTAAGGGGGCCATATGGCAATTAATCAATTATCAGCCAGGGGATTATAGCTGTTTTAGGGTTTATTTGAATGATGTAGTAAATTGGTTGTTTGGATTTCTTTTCTCACTCACCAGTATTTTACTGGTAAGGGACCGTTCATAATTTATGGCTAGGGTGCGTGTGTGTGTGTGTGATGATGGTGACTTTTATGGAAAAGAGTGTACAATGTGAGTGGCTACCCCACTGCCCTCCGTATGTGCAGTGTTTTACACCATTGTACCATGTTTTGAAACGCTAACAAAGGCATGTAATAATATGTTTGCAAATACTGCTATTTTGCATATTTCAAAATCATGCAGTTTTCAACTTGTGGGTAAAGTTTATGTTAGTATGAGGGTGAAATCAAATTAAGGGCTAGCGTCTTGATTCATCTGGCAGGAAAATGTGTAACTATTTATGATTAGTCTCCTGTGTCTATTACACACAGGGACGGTGGGGTAACCTAGTGGTTAAAGTGTTGGCTCGTCATGCCGGAGACCCGGTTTGATTCCCCACATGGGTACAATATTCAAAGCCCATTTCTGGTGTCCACTGCTGTGATATTGCTAGAATATTGCAAAAGCGGTGTAAAACCATACTCACTCACTCACTATTAATTTACGCACAGACGTGAGTCCAACAAACTGACAAAATTTTTGAAGTCAGATGTTTGTTCCTTTTTCATTTTGGTTCATAACAAATTGGGAAAAAACATGCAATATATTGTGGTGTGTATCCCAATACACAAATCATCATTGCAATAATTTGCAATATGGAAGTCAGACCAGTACTCATCAGTACTCAGCTGCAGCAAATGAGACACAGCACTTTCGTTAATTATGCACTGTGGTAGAGTTCATGTACAGTGATACCTTCAGTTGATTGGTAGATATTGATTTGTAATGAACAGCTGAAGGGCCACATTGGGTATTTTGGCACAGTGCATTGTATTTTTGAAAAGTATTCAGGAGAATTTGTATGCAAGTAAATTAAAAATAAAAAACAATTGGATTTATTATGTGCTTGTCTGGATCTGCTGATATTGGTTTGGCATATGAATGTATTATGGGGAACAGGTGGCCCCATCTGATGTGCAGAGTTGTGTCCCTTAGGTGTAGCAGGCTCCTATGATCATAGTTTGAGTCTGTGTTTCTGGTTATGTTGACCCGTGAAGATCCGGGGTAGAATAGGTCTTCAGCAACCCATGCTTGCCACAAAAGGCGACTATGTTTGTCGGAAGAGGTGACTAACGGGATCGGGTGGTCAGGCTCGCTGACTTGGTTGACACATGTCATAGTTCCCAATTGCACAGAGCGATGCTCATGCTGTTGATCGCTGGATTGTCTGGTCCAGACTCGATTATTTACAGACAGCAGCTGGAATATTGCAGAGTGCACCGTAAAACTAAACTCACTCACTCTGGTTATATTTGTAAAGAGCTTCCTTTCGGCCCCTTTTGATGACAGAACAATAAACATTGGTACAGATTAGTCTTTAAAAGTACAATGTTGCAGTCAGTGTATTGTAGTCACAATATGATAGGACACAATATCATCCACCTTCAGTAAACATGAAGCTTCAGTCAAATTCAGTGTATGCATGATCAGATCCTTTTATAATTATCCAAATAATGTTTGCAGGTCACAAATAAAACTGCTCCCAATCAGACATTTTGTCCCAAGTCTTGAGACCTTCAGCAGGTACCCATGTAATAGGGCCTGTGAAAGGTCGGGTTAGAATTGATCTTCTGCAACCCA